CAGCCCCTGCCCCCCTCCCTGGGTCAAGGAGAATGACAAGGGCTCGTTGGCCCAGCTTCCCGCTCGCGGCACTGGGCCAGGCCCAATGGGACCCAGCCCCAGAGCTGAGATGTCTCCTCGGCCCCCCACCCCCACGCTGACCCACTAAAAATGGATGAACCTTCAGGGGGAGGGGAGACCCCCCCAACACCTACCCAAACACACACACAAAACCCAAGCATCCTGTCCCATCCCCCAAGGTGTCAGGCCTCTCTCAGCCCCCACCCCCTCTGCCCCAGAACCCAGGTATCTGGGCCACACACACACACACACACACACACACACACACACTAAACTCAGGCTTCTGCAACACACACACACGCACACGCACACAGCAGACCCAGGCATCCAGGACACACACAGACCACACCCACCCGCACGCACACCGCACACAGAACCCAGGCATCCAAGATACACGTACACATGCACGCATGCACACACACACATACACAGAACCCAAGCATCCAAGCCACTCACACCCCATAGCCCAGGCCAGCAAAGCCCAAAAGCTGGGGGGACAGGGGGAATAAAGGAAGGCAGAAGCAAGGTTGCACACAGGAAAGTGGGGGGTAGCCAGCAGATAAGGGAAGCTACAGCTGCCATCGAGCCTGCCTGCTTTACCCCCAGAATGAGCTTTTCCCAGGCCCTGGGCCCCCACACATACCCCCCAGAGACCTCCCTGAGCCGGACACATTTGAATTAGCTGTTCTAGCTTCCAAGAGTTTTAAAAGAGCTGTCTGAGGCCTTTATTGGGAACCGGCATCAAGGAGGGGCTAGAGGGGTGGGAAGAAATGATGGTTGTCACTGGTACAGTTGATGTGGGACCCAATTAGCAGGAAGGAATAGAATCAATAGATGACAACTAGCAGGATACAATTCACAAGTGCATAAAATGAATTCATAAGTGTATCAATCTAAATAACGCAGGAGGAGGAGGGGACATTCCCATGGTTGTCAACAACAAGCACATTATTAGTTCCTAAGGGAAGGGAATCTATTGCACTAATGGCTCATTAAACTTGTCATTAGCATCTATGCTAATTAGAACAGCCTCCAAGTCTTCGGTGGGGGGGGGGGGTGCTGCTGTGGTTCAGGGCAGGGCTGTGCTGTGTCTGTCCCAGCTGCATTGGCCTGCTGGCTCCTTACGCACCACTGGAAACCAGGGGAGAGGCCTAGGGTTGCAAGTAACACAGGGGGTCATTAAAATGCACATTATTTCATGTCTCATTATGCCCCCACCCCCAAAATTGGAAGGAAAGAAAAAAACCCCATGGCTGGACTGCTGGAACGAAAAATAGTTTTATATTATAGCATGTTGTATTGCCGGAACATTGTATTGTATTATCATTTCTACATTAGATTATCTATACATTAAATTATGTTGGCATTATATCATATTATATTACATATTATCTCTGTATTACATGATATTATCTGTACATTATACCATATATCATCTTTATGTTATCTCTAATTATGCTAAATCTCTAGCTTGTATTATCTCTGGAACATATTACATTATACAGTATTGTAGAACCTAATCTGTACAGAATATACTATACTACATTGTATTGCATTATCTCTGTGTTATAAATTGGACTATTGCTGCATTGTATCATATCATCTGCTTGTTACATATTATATTATCTGTGTGTTACATATTGTATTATCTGCAGGTTATACTATACATCATCTGTCCATCATCTTTACAGCTTCTATGTTGTGTTGCCTGTGCACTGCGCTATATTGCACGGTGCTACATTCACCAGACAGGACATATTATATCCTATTTTCTCTGTGTGATGTGCTGAACCACTATGCATTATATGTCATCTGTGCTTTGCCTCTATATTACATATCTCTACTTCGTGTTCATTGCGCGCTGTGTTATGTTGTATTGCAGTGTGCTAGGGTATCACTACATGCCAACTTATATGTCATTGTACAGTCTCTGCGGTGTGTTATCTGTGTGTTATATTACATGTCATCTGTGCATTGCTTCTACATCATGCATCTCCACGGTGCGGTCTCCTTGTGTGGTTACATGGCACTGTGCTCCACTCCAGCATCTGCGCGTGGTCTATTTATGCCAATATATTATCTGCATTATACCACATTGTCTGTGCCTTACATGGCACATCATCTGTCCATTCACTCCACGTCCTGTTATGTCTCTACATTGTATTGCCTCTGCATTGTATGGTATATTATCGCTGCATTATAATAAATTATCTGTATATCATGTTATATTACCTGTGTATGATGTTGTCTGCCACCTCAACATTATCTCTACATTATATCTCTACCTTGTAATATCGGCATTAAATTATATTATATTATAATCACATATTACAATATAATACCATATAAGGCATCATGTTAATATAATACAATATAATATATTAATATGACATTATATTACATTATTTTATATTATATTATAGTATGGTATATATTAACACAATATATTGTATTGCAACACGTGCTGTTATATATTAACGCATAATATATATTATATTAACAGCACATATTACAGTATTCCGTGATGTTAATACAATACAATATAATATGTGGTGTTAATATATGATGTTAATACAATATATTACATTAACACCATATATCATATCGTATATCATCTCTGAATGTTGTAATACAATGTACAGATGACACATCACATCCCATCACCTCCTGTTGCATTGCATCACCTCCTAGTTCCACCTCTCACACGTCACTTCCCACCATTATGCTAATGAGATGCTAATGATCTGTCAGCCTGTCAAAGCCCAGCTGCTCACAGGCCCTGGCAGTGCCCCCCATGTGGAGCCAGGGCCTTGGGGGGTGGATAAGGGAAGCTAAAGTCTGTTGGCCCCTAGCTGCTCAAGGTGGCTCCTTCACCAGGTGTTGGGGCTGGAGATGTTGTCACAGTGAGGTCACACCCTAGGATCCAATGGGGGGGATTGTGGGTGTGGTCTAGGGGCACCAGGCCTGGCATGTGGGGGGGCAGGGCCAGAGGCAGCCACTGGAGGTGGGGGGGGAGGGGGACAGATGCACACACAGGAACGCACACCCACCCACACAAGTACATATGCACATGCTGTGTCACACCTACACGCACCCAGTGCCCTAGTCTGGAGGTCTCTCTCCCACACACACGCGCGCACACACCCCAGCAGCACAGCAGAGCGAGGGGGCAGCTCAGGCCTATCATGGGGCTTGCAGCCTGGCAGTCGCACATGCCTGTACAATAGCCCACCTGTGTAACATGTTGCCTCTTTGTGCGGCATGTTCCCATGAGGCATGTGCTTGTGCCGGGGCTGGGAGACCCAGCTCTGCTGAGCACAACGTGGCCCTGGGCAGCATGCACCACGCGGGACAACACACTGGAATGTGCTGTGGGCACCAACAAGCTAGAAACATGGAATGTGCTGCTGTGCCTGTAAACACCCCCCCCCCACAGACACACACACACAGGCCCCAGATGTCCAGGACATACCTCTGCACACAGAACCCAGGTGCCTGACACACACGCACACACACAGCAGGCCTCCAACACACTGTGCACTCAGCCACACGCCAGAGCATGGCCCAGAGCATAACACGCAACGGGTCACAACATGTGGTGCCACACAGCCCACATGGGGCCTTCCCCACATGCCACCAACACCCAGCACACACACACATGCATTCACACCAACGCACACGCATGCACACGGTGCACCACACATGCAGACACACACACAGAGGCAACACACGCTTCCACACAGGGCAACATACCACAGCATGCCCTCCCCCCAAACACACAGCACAGCCACAGACCCCCTCAACCCTGTTGCCATGGGAACACCCCCACTACCTCCATTGGCTGCCCTCCCATCCCCGCC